GTGGGGCGGGAGAGCAGCCTGCCCGTGAGGAGGAAGAGGAGCAGTGCCAGCGCAGGGAATACGGCGGGACAACGGGTTAAAGCTAAGGAAGATGGGAGTGCGCAGATGGACGGGCAGCTGCAGGCAGGAGCAGCCAGGAGGAGCTGCCCTCCTGTGCTCAGAGCTCTCTCCTCTTTCTTCCCGTCCCGTCTCTTTTCCAGGGATGTCTGAGGGACATGGAAGCCGCGGTGGGGGCGCCGAGGCACTGCAGGGAGGTGAGGCGGTGGTGAACAGCGTGAGAACAGACACCTGGAAGAATTGAACCCACTCGCCGTGGCAGTAGGGGAAGGTGCCGTCCAGCTCCGGGGGCAGCTGGGAGCTGTCGACGTAGCGGCCCAGAGCCTTCAGCGATGCCAGGGTCTCCACCTGTGGGACACGGGGCTCCTGAGCACTGAGAACACCACTGGGAACACCACTGGGAACACCCCCAGAGACAGCCTGGAGCAGGGAGCTCTGCCCGGGGTCCTCAAACAGGTCTCCAAGCAAGGGGACCTAGGGTCTCTGAGGTGGGAGGCTCCTTTCACCCTGGCTCTGCTCTTCCCACAGGGGACAACAGAGGGACATGAGGAGGGGACAGAGACAGGCTCACCTGCAGCCCAGGCAGCTTCTCACGTTGGGTGACCAGCTCCTTCTCGGCCAGCAGCAGCACGGTGTGGATGCAGCCTGGCGAGATGCTCTGTGGGAGGCAGGGAGAGTCAGCACAGCAAACCCCACAGCACAGCCCCCGGGTCACCCACAGCAATGCCAGGGCTGGGCTGCCCAGCTCAGCTGAGGCTGCTGAGCTCATTGCAAAGCAAGAGGCTCCTGCATTCACTGGCATGGGAAATGGAAACGGGTGGCTCAGGCCACAACCCTGTCCCCATCCACCAGCTCCTCAGCACAATGGCCCAGTGGCAGAGCCTGGTGAGCTCACACCAGTGAGGCTCCTCCATGCAGGGAGCTTTGGGACCAGCACTGGATTCACTGGACAGGCTGCAGCCGAGCCCTGAGTGGGCAGAGGCAGATGACACTGACAAGGGGACCCCATGGTCCCCGGGACAGAGCAGGGGGTGCAGCACTGCCCCAGTACAGACACAGAAACCCTGCCAGGATGAAGCAACAACTGCTGCAGAGCCAATTTCCAGGTGAGCTCAGCCAGTGGGATGCTGGAGGGGTTGGTGGCTTGCCACAGGGCTGGGCAACAGAGGGGAAAAGGACAGATCCTGTGGGACTGGGAAGGGACTCCCAACGCATCCATGGCACAGGCACATGGAGCCCTGATTACCTGGACAGAGCGAAGGGCTGAGAACAGGACAGGAGCAGGTGGCTGCTTCCTGGCATCCACCAGGACAGTGAGCCCATCATCCTTGGCTTCCCGCCTGGCAAGGGCAAACAAAGCAGGAGGCAGATGGCACTGGTTAGAAGTGGCATGTGAAGTGGGGGTCCTCCCCCTCCAGTAGGACCCACTTGAAGCCCTGTCCCACATGCCCAGGCAGCAGGATGAGGGTAAACAGGGACCAACAGCTGCAGGCAATGGCCTGGTCCCCATGGGATGCCCCAAGCAAGGGAACTGCCCTCAGCAGAGGCACAGCACTGGGTCCTTGGGGCTGGCTGCAAGAGGGACAGCGGACATGGTGCGGACCATGCAGGATGTGCCCAAAGCAGCACGTGCAGGGTGCTGGGCATCATCCATCCTGGCTTGGCCTAGAGACTGCCTGGGTCCCCCAAGCTGAAAGGCAGCTGGGGGTCCTGGCAGATCCTCCTGGCCCTTACCTTGGGAGGGAGCAGAGGTAGAGGATGAGCCTCGCCAGCTCTGCAGCCGAGCACCACGTGGTCCCCCAGGTGCTGCCGCCGGTGCTCACCTGGAGGAGGGCCCTGCCCAGCCTGTCCAAGCTCCCTGTGGGGAGAGAGGCCAGTGACCTCTCTGGCAGCCACCCACTGGCTGCAGACCCCAGCTCTGAGCAACCCCTGGGGGCCCTGGGGCTCCCATTGGCCCCTCTGCTACTTGCCCAGCAGGGAGGGTGCTGAGGGGTCTGGGACTGGGGCTCTGCCACGCCCCCCCCACCCCTCCGGAGGGGCTGCACCAGCCCACAAGGGCTCTAGGCATCAATGCTGACCCTGCTGACTGGGGCAGAGCTGCTAGGGATGTTTTTCTGAAAAAGGATTGTTTTATCACTGCTTTTCAGTTCTTGGGAAAAGGAAGAAGCCAAATGTTTAGTGTTTGGCAGCTAAAAGCTTAACAGCTTCACTGGTGAGGAATGGTGTGGGAGGGTTTGGTGCAGCTGGGAACCAGGGCAGCTGCTCCAAGCAGCCTGCGTGGCTTTAGGCTTGTGATTTTTTTTGCCTATCTGAAAGGAAGTTTTCTGCCTGGGGGCTTTGTGGTCTCCAGCAAAGCCTTCCCCAGCAGCACGGTGTTTTCCCTCCAGGCCTCGCCCAGCTTCTCCCCAGGGTCTGGAGGTGCAGGTACCTGGCAGGCAGATGATGCCCGAGCGCAGCAGCCCCGCGTGCAGG